GGGACACGTACCCCACCTCCCCATCGGGTTCAAAGGGAGCCTCGCTCCGGTCCGAGGGGTCCTGCGGCGCTATTTGACCACTGGGGGTTAACAATGGCCATATAGAAGGGCCCCATGGGGCTCGTTAGAGCTCCTCATGGACCCTAATTGCCACACTATGATCTCTTTAAGGGCCCTACGCCGGATTCTGAGGGCCTCCTGGGCCTTTATAAGGGCTCCTCAGTGGTCTCCCAAGGCCCGTTACTGGCCTCTGAAAGTTCTTACCGGCCTATGAGGGGCCAGTTCTAGGGGCATTTCCTGCCTGTGATGGTCCCACAATTATTTTTCTGATGGCCCTATAACGGCAACGGTGGGGGCCCTAGTCGGCGCCTATGAAGGCCCACACCGGTGTCTGAGGGTTGCACATCCCCAACTCTTGAGTGCCTACACTAGTGCCTATTAATGCCCTATATCGGAGACTCTGAGAGCGAGGACCCTAATCCCTACCCTACCCAATGCCTGCGCATCTATAGGCCACCCACTGGTGACTTCTGAGGGCCCCACACCGGTCCGGTGACTCTCAGGGCCCCACCGGCGTATGATAGTACCATGCCGGTCTCTAAGGACCCCACAGAACTTCTTCTGCTGGCCTAAGGGCCTCTTGCCGGTCACTGAGAACCCCCTGCCGGCTTGTAGAGGGTTCGCGTCAGCAGCTCAGGCCCCACACCCGTATGTAACGGCTCCACACCAGCGTCTATGAGGGCCCACAGCAACGCCTGTAAGGACCCTCACCGGCGCCTCTGAGAGAATCATACTGGCACCTCTGAGCGCCCACACCGGCACCTGCATGACATTCCCACACCAGTGCCTCTAAAGGCCCCTTACCGGCGGCTCTGAGGGCCCTACGCCGGTGATTCTGAGGGTGCTAACGATAACCGAAGACACCACAAGCCCTTAGTGTCGCTGAGCTTTTAATCCCATACCGGCCTTCCAAGGACGCCACGTAAGTGCACTCATTGCCCCACACCCCTCCCTTACACCCGGAGCGGGTAACCTGTGTTATACCTGTAGCAACGATTTTACCACCGTTGTACGTTAGGTATTTCTAAAGGTTGACTCAAAATGGTCCAGTATAAAAGCTGGCCTGCCAAACTTATGGCCAAGGCCAGGCCCAAACAAAAGCGGGATGACAACGGCAGATGTCAAATCAATACTGTAACAGCAGAAACCATTCAGATGGCAAGGAAATTGCCGGGTGTTGATGTTTAGATGTATAAAGGAAACAAGAGGAAGTCCGGAAAAGGGAGGAAAGATCCTTTCTCGCTGCCTCAATGTTGAGGGGGCGCCGTCCCCTCGGCTCTCAGGTGGGGGGGGGGGGGGGCAAGCGCCCCCGCTGCCCACCTGTTTCCCGGGTCTATGAAAATTACTCACCAAATAAGGGATAAGGGTGGAAAATTGATGGTCAGATAAGGCCTAAAAGACTGGAAAAAGAATATACAGCAAAATCTAATACAAGGCTGGTATGTGGGAAGTAAAATGGCTATCGATCCATGCAAATGCTTTTTGTTGGTAAAGTTGTGAGTGAAAAATGGGCTATTAAAAAATGGAGGCGAGTGAAAAATGATTTTCATTTGGATGTCGTTTCACACCTAAATCAACAAAGTTTGGGGCACTGGTACGGGGTACCCATCGCCGGCATCAGTTGACGTCACTCAGGACCTGCCTATGGTTGGTTGGTGGGTGAGTTACTGTACCTTCTATGGGTGACATTGAGCCAGCTCGGCGTTTGGAGGCAGTAAGCACCTCCTAAACGTGTCGAGCTAGGAAGCAGCGGCAACCTTTATACCCGTATTGGCCTGTTTACAGCGTAGGGGCTGTCTGTATGCTGGTCATTTGGTCCCTGATCAATCCGGATCTTCGCGGAAAGGCAAGCTTGTTGCCCGTGGCGGGTGATGCGGATACTATCAGACTTCAAAAGCGGGTATTTTTGGTATTCAGGTCGGGTATAATTGCCCTAGACATTCGGAGAATCTTGGGATGCCCAATTCTGCAAGTCCTGGGTGAAGCTCGCTAGTCTACCCGGGGGGTGTCCCCTTCTACAACGACCCCGGGGCAGCTCACTAGTCTGCCCGGGGGATGTCCCCTTCTACAACGACCCCGGGGCAGCTCACTAGTCTGCCCGGGGGTGTCCCCTTCTACAACGACCCCGGGGCAGCTCGCTAGTCTGCCCGGGGGGTGTCTCCTTCTACAACGACCCCGGGGCAGCTCGCTAGTCTGCCCGGGGGGGTGTCCCCTTCTACAACGACCCCGAGGCAGCTCGCTAGTCTGCCCGGGGGTGTCCTCTCCTGCAACGGCCTCGGGGCAGCTCGCTAGTCTGCCCGGGGGTGTCCCTTTCTACAACGACCCCGGGGCAGCTCGCTAGTCTGCCCCAGGGTGTCCCCTTCTACAACGACCCCGGGGCAGCTCGCTAGTCTGTCCGGGGGGTGTCCCCTTTTACAACGGCCTCGGGGCAGCCCGCTAGTCTGCCCGGGGGTGTCCCTTCTACACGGCCTCTGGGCAGCTCGCTAGTCTGCCCGCGGGCGTCCCCTCCTACAACAGCATGATTCCTGGAGCGGGCTGAGAGCCCTCCCCTTTTTTGCTGGGCGGCTGTCAACGACCTTCGTTGATGCTGTTCTAACCCCTTCCAAAGTTATGGGAAAATTAATGGTCGCGCTGAAAGGAATGTGCATAGGGTTCAAGGTAAAGGAGAATACAGCTTCTGTTGTCAGATGCCTCAGAACTCATGGATGGTTGTTTTTTCGGCGGGTATATCGAGGGCCTTTACTTGGTGGAGGCTATCATCGCAGTAGTGGCTAATGCTACTGGTTGTTAGTCCTGTGAGGGCTTCGGTATAAATGCCGTAATATTGCTCTTCATTGGTGACCGCTGTATCGCTCACATTCATGTTGGCAGGTTTAAGGGATCGTGGCGTTTCTGGTAAGCTTCGGGCCAGGTTGAGGAACTAATTACCTTCCTTCAACCAAGCACGTATTTGGGTGGGTTCCGCCACTGGTCTCGACACTGGCGGCGACTGTAGGTCTTTTGTGTTAATTTGTATCCCCCATTCGGTCTGCTGGTTTCGGGAAGGGGGTGTTTTATTATGGCGCATTGGTGTCTCGGTGGATGTATTGAATGGGTGGGGACACCATTGCGCCGCGCGGGGGGAGGGCTGGCGGCCCGTTGGCAGGGCAGTCTCGGTTGAGACTTGGATACTTGCTAGTGTGTTTGTGTCGTGTTCATTTGGGCTGAATATACCAATAGCCCCTTTTTGTACAGCTACAGTGTTTTCCTGGAGGGAATTGGTTGTGAGGTTTGCGCTGAGATTGGTTACGCATAGCATAGCTAACTGTCTCTATGTTTGCTGGCAGCTCGAAGGGGAAGCGGAAAATACGCCCGGTTATATATGACAAGATATAACCGGTTTTTCCGCGACACAACGAGCGTCTTCTTTGGGGCGGCCCCGGAGCCGGGCCGGCCTCTGCGAGCAGCGTTCGGCGGCAGGCGGGCGGCCGCCTGCGCCCCCGGGCGGCAAGGCCGCTAAGGCGGCGGCCTCATCTGATTGGTGGAGCGACTTGTGTCACGTGACGGTGACGGCGCGGGGTTTGAGTGCATTTGCGCGGTCACTCTGTTCTAAGCCGCCCGGTCTGACGCAAGTCAGCAGTGTTCTCGCTCTGAAATGTTTTTGCGTTTCCCACCCACCCACCACCATTTTTGGGGCTTTTTTTTTACACGCACCACACTCTTAAATAAAGATGGGTTTTTTCCACAAAATGTGGTTTTTCCCCAGCTAGGTCCCCCGGTTTTTTTCTAGTTAGGACTTTTTCCGGGGGAGGACACACACGACAGGGTTTCTAGTTTGGGTGGGGACACCATTGCGCCGCGCGGGGGGAGGGCTGGCGGCCCGTTGGCAGGGCAGTCTCGGTTGAGACTTGGATACTTGCTAGTGTGTTTGTGTCGTGTTCATTTGGGCTGAATATACCAATAGCCCCTTTTTGTACAGCTACAGTGTTTTCCTGGAGGGAATTGGTTGTGAGGTTTGCGCTGAGATTGGTTACGCATAGCATAGCTAACTGTCTCTATGTTTGCTGGCAGCTCGAAGGGGAAGCGGAAAAATATTTTCATGACCTGTGATGACCTGACCTTGACCTGAAAATCAAAGTACAAGTTTGGTACCCTCAGGGTAACTAGAGCATCTATTCCCGAGTGTGTGATCCAAAAATGAGCCTGATCTGACTTGTAAGACGGCGGCCAGAGCCCAAAACGTGAACAAGCCAAAATGCTAATAATTTTTACTTTGACCTGACCTGTGACGTCATCGGTGACGTCGAGGTCAATGAAATTAGGTTTCGCTCGACAGTTTTTCCGGGGCTATCAGACGCCGTTTGAATTTTGACGATCGGCCCAGTAGTTTCGGAGTTAGGAGGGGGGGCTATGAATAGCCCCCCCCCCAGTAGGGCGTGTTATACGCAGACCCCAGTGGGGCGCGGGTTAACTGATATACGGTGCGGTGATTTCTCGGGCGTACCGACGACGGAACGTAGCTCAGCATTCAGCCGTCCCGTGCCGGACGCGGGGACAATAGCACAGGGCGGGCCAAGTCAATGGGGAGAAACTGACAGCCTAGATGCATTGAGCATGCAACACAACGGCGCTGCAATTTATCCATCGTCGTGATGGTCACTGAAGCTGCTGGCCTGCACTGAATGATGCGAAGTGGAGATGCAGCGTACGGACATGCCCGAAATCTCTAGATACGAAGTTTTGGAAACCGAACAGATTCATCAGTGTATCAACTTTATTAATGAAACGTAGCATGCACGCTTTTAAGGGAACTATAACGACAATTTTAATCAGACATCACCCAAGCAAAAACATTTTCGTTATTGATCCGAATCTCATGTTCCATTTACGAAGATGAATCCAATCAAACCACATTGCCAGTTCATGCAGAACCACCCCTTCCAGACCCCCCTGTGACCCACCTTTGCACCGTCCGTGCTGCTGCTGACCCAGTCGTCGACCTGGCTGCTCCGCTCTCTAACTCTCTCCGTCTCTGTCTCTGTCTCTGTCTCCGTGTGCACGTGCGACCCTCAGGGCTAGTCTCCGGCGACTGGGCCGAGTGCGGGGCACCGCGGCCCCAGCAGCGGCCCCGGCGCGGCGGTGTATCGCCCGCGGCCACACAGGCAGAGGGTACCCGCTGTTTGCCAGCCCGGCGCAGGGGCGGCGCCAGGGACAGCCGCGGGGAGGCGCGCCGCCGGGTGAGGTCAGCCGGGGAGGTTAGGGTGGGGCTACCGAGAGGCTAGGTCACCATTACGTGTGGGGGCTGATGTCAGAATACTTACACTAACCGCTCCTGTGACCTGACCTGGAGCCGCCCCTGTTTGCGCCGGGTCGGCTGGGGAGGGGAGGGTGCGGGGACAGGGCAGGCAGGGTCGGGGACAGAGCGCACGGCTACAGGACAGACGGGGGAGCTATCGTTATCGGAAAGGCAAGGGTCGGCCGCGAACGGGGTGTTTTCGTCGTTGGGTGCCGACTGCCGACCAAGGTCCATCAGATTGGTGCGTGGACCCATCGGTGACTTTCCAGACGCCAAACCAACTCAGCAGGGCTACATCCGTGGTCTTAGGAATGCTAATAGCCTGTTTTATGGTTTCTCATTTCATTTTTTTTTTGGAAAAGAACGCTATAGTTCGTTTTTTTTTTTCAAAAGGACGCTGGCTCAAAGTTCAATATCGAAGCTCTCACGTGAGTTTTGGCAGCTTCAGTGTCTGGCCAAGAATTTCTTACCGAAAAAATAATCGATTTCAAATTTTGTACGGTAAGTAGCTGAAAATTGTTTCTTAAAAATGAACATACTATGATGACGTCACTGGTGGCAGCAGGCACCCAAATGTCCGTGCAGTGGGACAAGTGTCAACGAATTTGGGTGAAACTTAGTTTTTCACTGTTGCCGAGCTTATAATCGAGTGAGCGGTTCCGTCCATGATAGTCATAAGTTACATTGCAATACATGTTCGACAGCATGACGTCACCGCTGTTCTCATATCTGGTTCCAAAACCCCTATATGGAAATTATCGGGAAGAAATCACATGTTAAAAATAGTCGACGTTCGATTTTCTCAGGTTCAGTTTTTGCTCGTTTTGCTCGCTAAAACACGTGCTTGTTCGAAAAACATACTTGGAGCCAGCGTCCTTTTGAAAAAAAAACGAACTATAGTCTTTCCCTCGTCGAAAAGTCCCAATCAGAGCTACCAAGTAGGTATTATCAAATATCACAGAGCATCGTCAGCAGGTTTGTGCTGCGCGGCGGTGCGTTTTCTCAAACGGCGCCCATCAGGGGCTGTGGCGACATATGTTACCCTTTGATGACAATGATTCGCTGACCAATTTGTGAACAATGCGGTTCATTAGCCTGATATCAGTGCAATGGCTCAATGAAACAAATGGCATGACCCGTACGCCGAGTAGCATAGGAGCAGCAGACTCATTGTGCGGATCTTTATAGTAAATGGAAGGTGGTCATCATTGCCTACAATATAAATACAATATGAAGGTTGACTGTATCGCAATTGACTTAAATTGAATCCAGTCATTTTTGTAGATCGCAGAATCGTTGCCAAATAGCGAATGGCTTCCCCATTCAGTTCTGCCTATTCCAATCTGAAAGCAATCCAGAAAATACCTGTAGTTTGTGTGGTCGGAGCAGCGCCAATCGCAGCAACTCCTGCCTAGCAGCGGCTGTGTTTGCCGGTCCAATGCGCCCGCCCCCGCCCCGCCTCCCCACACTCGGTCACAGAGCTCCCGACTACCCCCCACTGTCGACCTTACGGGCGCGGCAGCACCACCCGGTCACAGAGCTCCCGACTACCCCCCACGGACGAGCTGACCGACGCGGCGACACTATGTCTCCCGGCCGGCTGCTCCCGGCCGCCGGGGCCTCTCTGGTGACCCTGGTCTGGGCTGCTCTGGTGACCCCCGGGTCAGCCCACCGGGACGCGCCGCCGGCCAGCTTCTCCGTGGTCTCGGCGCACTGGCACCTGGCTCACGGCGCCGTTCCGGCTGACGAGCTGCTGGACAACGTCACCGCGCGGGACGAGTGTAAGTGGGGCCGGGCAAACCGGGGGGATGGAGTATTGGATGGAGTAGTGCAGGAGTAATGCTAATGCAGGAGTAATGTTCGACAGCGTCACGGCCCGGGACGAGTGTAAGTGGGAACGGGCAAACCGGGGAGTGTGGAGTATTGGATGGAGTAGTGCAGGACTGCAGGAGTAATGCTCGACAACGTCACCGCGCGGGACGAGTGTAAGTAGGAACGGTCGGGCAAACCGGGGAGCATGGAGTACGCACAGACCGGGGCAGAATACGAACCAGGAAATGAATGAGACAAATGAATTGTTGCAGGATAGCTCTCCGTAGGATCCACCAGCCTCTGAGTGGAAGGAGAAAGGACCATTGATTTTTTTTTATCAATATAGTCCCAACCTTTTGAATCGAAGGATTCACAGCGTCAGCGACTAGTCAGGGCCTCCCTCTAAGCAGAGTTTGTTACGTTTGCCCCGCCCTCTACACACATTCCGATCGCGCAATTCCTGCGGCATATTTCATAAAGCGGCGTAAAATGCGACCATATACGCGGTTTTCCACGCATTTGGTTGCACTTAAACGCACAAGCGGTTTCTCAAAATTATTGCGGGCGTAACCATGCTAACCATATGGTGCTATAAAAGTGACCATTTCACCTTAACATTAGATTTGAGTTGAGACAGCCAAATTGGGCTCCCTGGCTCACAATCACCGGTTTCGGCACTTGCATTATCGAGAAATGCCTTAACCCTCGCCGGCCGAGGGGGGGGGGGCGGGTGCCGCCCCCCATAGGGTTTTTTTCGCGATAGATCCGAACACGCTGGAGATAGAGAGCTGAAACTTGGCATACCTGACCTTTGATTCAAGCCGGATCTTTTGACACCAACCACATTTTCGGGTCAGGTCAGGTCACTGACCTATGACGTCATAAGTGAACCTCTGCACGGTCTTCAGATGTCGCAACTTCGCAACGCCCTCACTGCCAGAGGAGCTTTCACAGGGAAATGAAATTTGCAGGATCTAGTATCCATTACGAGTCTCACAACTTGCATATCTCGGATTCTTCCTAAAGGTCATATGAGGTCAGGTCATTTTCGTGACCTCACCATTAGGTATAAGTCAATGGGGAAAAATGAAAACTGCTATTCTGACGCCGCGAACGATCTCCAACTATCTCAAGCACACAGAATCGTAATTTGATGCACTCCTTGCAAGGTTAGTTGCGTCGCTTTTGCAATGTTGACCTTGCGTGACGTCATTTATGACGTGATCAAGTTCATATTCGTTTTTCGTCAATAACTCCCGATCAAATTGAGCTAGCGAGTCGGGAAAGCCACCAATGGACTCAGGAAGACCTGTCGAATCGAATGATATGCGCCATGACCTCTTTCGACCAACTTTGTGACCTGGGGGCGCTGACCTGACCGTGACCTGAGGTCAACACCCTAAGTTGACCTCACCCACACAAAAAGTATATCTTTCGACGCGCCTGAGCGAGGCAAACACGATGCTGCCATAATCGCGGCTCTGTGGCCGTTTTTGCGAAGTTATTCACCAAAAACTGAACCGTACCTTGGGGCACTTGCCCTGACCTCAGAGGTCACCGGTTGACCTAGGACCTAAAAGATAAAATCGGGTACCAATATATGCGTCTCGTAACGGCGCATACGCTCGTTTTTTCCGCGACGCGCTAGCTCCACCAGGGGAGAAACGGCGGGGCGGGGGTGGGGGGTGGGGTCGTACCCGCCCCCCCCCCCTCGGCCGGCGCGTATGTAGAAAACCAATAAGTCCGGCGAGGGTTAAATCGAAAATATTTAATTTCAAAGTTGCAGGATTCAGAGGGGCTAATACATTTTAATGCCCCCTCTGAATGCGTGACGTCAGCGCAGATCTAACGATTTGTAAACTTTTTACTAAAACGTTTGGTAACACGTTGTAGTATGTATGTATGTATGTATGTATGTATGTATGTATGTATGCATTGACACCAAAAGCCTTCCACATATGGCGTGGCGATTACGGCTTAGTATTTGCTGCATTGCGCACAACATCTGCCGCACTTAAAGGATGACAAATAACAAAGTATCTCGAGAACGAGTGAATACTTTTCGATTAAATATGATAGATATTCATTTTTGATTTTTCTGAGCCATGGTACGTCACTTAAATGCCAATTTATTAACTTGTTTAAAGGTAGGAGAGTCCTTTTAACTAGTTAAGCAGTGGATGTGGTAAAGTCCAAAATAAGCGAAAGCATTCCACTGGCGTATAATACGCTTTCTGATCCTTATGATACCACCCATTTCTAAAGCGTGTATTTTCTTAGTGCGTAAATACACCTCGATGCAAACTAGGTGGCCAGAGCACGAAGTTCCTCTTTGGTCCGACCTTGCAACCACCATAACACGCGGACTAGGCCACGAAACTTCTAATTTACTTCTTGAGGAGGCTTGGGTGCCTGTAGTAGCACGTGACTGATGAACCCGCCATGTATGTACTCCTCAGAATGGGCCCACTGAGGATCTGTGGGGGCTCATCAAACAGAACGTTTATAGGGGAAGGTGGCAGGTCAACTGACACGCACAGCTGAAGCAGAGAATCCAGCAGGTCATCCGTCACATTGACCCGGAGGTGACGCGAAAGATATCGGGGCTGCTATTGCGCGTGCGCCTGGCGACTGACAGAGGTCCTGTGTCGCAGATCCACTAGGCCGAGCGTAATCACAACAAAATAAAGACACGGTAACGCGATTTTCGCTGTTTTCGCCTGAAAACTTTTAGCACACTAGCTGTTCAAACTTTGTCTAATTTCATACTGACCACCCGTTATCAATGCCACCGTGCCATCGCCAATTAACGGCGCTACGTGCCTTGTTCACGGCCACACGGACCTCATGTTTACCGAAGACGCTCCACTACCTTCCACAACACTGTCATCACTATGAAATCAACTCGCTTGTGTTTTTGAACAGGAGGCTCACTCTGCGTCACGCCATCAATCACATACAATGGTAGACTTAATCAAAGTCACGTTATCAATCTGGGCATACTATCGCAGACATACTCAGCGTCACGTTATCAATCACAAAGAGCTCCCAACTGGGCGATGGGAAACGTGACTTATAGGACGTTCTGGGTTCGGAGCCCAGAGGCTACTTATTGTTTGTCAACGGGCAATTTGTATTTTGACATTATACGTTTTAGCGCTTATGCTTATATAACAATTATTTGTGTGACAAAACGGCACACTGTGAGATAGGAATCATGCACTACTCAGTATTTTAATTATCGACCGTTGCTGTCAGTGGACCATGTCGTCATCCTTGATGGTGAGCCCATCAAATGTATAGTCGACTACAGAATGATGTTCTTCTCCTCAGAAGCTTTCAGTTGACCTGAGCGCTAAATTGTGCCGTTTATCACGCAATTCAGCGTGTCGATTGTGAGCATTGGGACAAAGCTATAATTTGTGAGCTCAGCCCGTGTGATGCGGCACAGCCTACCACTCCAGGCAAATAATTGCCTGTGAAAAGTGGAACATCATTCTGTAGTCGACTATACATAAACGTAAACGTTAATATAATCACTGCAGCAAGCACGCTGTAGAGTGCAGATACGGACTGGCCAGCGGACGCTGTGACCTGTGGCACCCTGACGTTTGTCAGGTTGTCTCAATGAATGGGACAGTGACCGGCAGATATAGGTACGAGTTGACGCCCGTCCAATAGCGGACAGTGACCGGCAGATATACGAGTTGACGCCCGTCCCAAAGTGGACAGCGAGCGGCAGATATACGAGTTACTAGTGGTGTCAATCGGAACTTGAATCTTCGGAATTCCGATTTTGTCCAATGTCCAATGCGGAATTCGGTTGGACAATGACAGCAGGCCTTGGACAACTTTGGACAATCGCTTGCTACACCTCAACATGTTTATAAAGTAATCGTGTTTAACATTGATTGGCTATTAGAAAGCTCAGCTTTCGATATGATTACCACTTTTGAGCTGGTAACGATACATTAAAACCAAATTAAATAACTGTGTTGAGTGTAAACTATTGTGTAGATGTCGGACATCTTTGGACAAATGGCTGGCTTGGAAATTTTTGGACGGACAGTCGACGTAAGTATTGGACATTGGACGGACATTGGACATATGTTTTCTGAAATTGACATCACTACGAGTTACCATCCGCCCGCGCCAGTGAATGGCGAGACACGAGGGACGCTTGTCGTCCCATGTCCGCCGGCGACGCTGGGTGAATAGGTGCAAAAACTGTGTGCGGACAAACATCGAACAAACTACATATGCGATGGGCTTCGGTATCAAATAGCTATTGTCCTATGCAATATGTCTGAAATTGAATACATTTTCCTAATATGTTATGCTGCGCATTTGATCATCATGCAAGCATGCAGAAAATGCATCCTGCAGGAATTAGTGTAAACAACATAAGTAATATTTACACTTACAAACTGTAGCATGTCTAACATGTCTTTGAATATTACTGTTGGAAAATACAATCCGCCGCATTCATTTGTAGAGTCGCTGATATTGGTTTCCTCTCCGATTTCAATGGATAGTGTCCGAGGTTGTGCCCTGCCGCCACCGGATTCTCTGTCAGTTGTCAGTTCCCTCGGTGTTTCGGGGGTCACCCCTCTGTGTCACGGTGTCACCCCCTCTGTGTCACGGTGTCACCCCCTGTGTCATCCCTCCCCCGGTCCACCAGGTGAGTGTCTGGCGCGCTGCTTCCGAAGAGTAGACTGCCTCAGCTTCAGCTGGGTGGACGGCCACTGCATCCTTTACAGCGTTCGCGGTAACGTGGGCTCCCTACGACCGGGCCCCGTGCGCTTCCGAACTGGATTGGGTGAGTACCGGGAGCGGGGCTCCCTCCGACCGGGACCCGTGCGCTACCGGACTGGACTGGGTGAGATAGTGAGTACCGGGTCCCCCGGCCCTCTGATATAGGTGCGTGACACAACAACAACAAAAAATAGGTGCTTGACTCAATCTTCAAATGACCCGGGCTGGCTAACGTAACCGTTTTGATGACTGAGCTACGCATTCCGTCAGTAACATTGTTCGAGTGTTACACTACACACTCTTCTCGGATGTTCGTATTGCATTTGAGCCTGACTTTACCTTCGGATAAGAAAATCGATATTTTTATTGTGTAGTCAGCTCGTGACTACGTTCGATACGACCATATATTCTTCTTGCCTATAATTCGGCAGTGAGAAGCCTTCGCTTGACGGCTGACGCTTAGCTACACGCATATTTCCGACAATCTACATGAAATGGGGGGGGGGGGGCTAGAATGCTGCTATTTTCCACAACAACACAGCTGAATGCATCCATTGGCTGATTTAGGATGGATTTTTATTTTATCTACTGCGATTTCAGCCTACCTGGGCGACTGGTGTCTGGATGACTGGGAGTGTCGAGTGATGGCGTCGGAGGCCGTCTGCCTGTACAACACGTGCCACTGTCCCTTCGGACAGCACCGGCATAACAGGACAACGTGCGGTAAGAGCAACTCCGCTGTACAGTGCAACCGGACAACGCGCGGTAAGACGAACTCCGTCGCGCAGCACCAGTAAAACCGGACAGCGTGCGGCTCCGGAAGGCATCAGCAAAAGCGAACATCATGCAGTAAGGAGACCGAGACATTTGCCGTCCTAAGCCGTGAGGTATAGCGTTAACACTGCAGTACAGTAGGTATGTAAGTACGAGTACCAGCAGAACAAAACAACATGAGCAAATAAATCGCCGGGCAGTACCAGCAGAACAGAGCAGCGTGCGGTAAATAAACCGCCGGCGCCGCACAGTACCAGTAGGACAGAACAGCCGGGCGGCATGCGGTAAGGAGACAGCAATCCCCCAGCTACAGCGTATGGACAGAAGCAATGACCTGGCTCCACAGTCCACATCCTGTAGCATCATTCTAAGTAATGTACACTGTCTTGAAGCCCAAAGACATAGTTACCATTCACTTCTGTCGTGGTGACTCGAATGCTGTATGTTAACATGCTGATAGCTTATATCATCAATTCAAAATACCTCGTGCGTTGACCATTGTCACTTTATTCCAGGATACGATCCATTTGGAACAGAAAATGGAGGCGACTTTACCATTGCACCATGGAGTTCCCCCAATGAACAGGCGGCAGACGTCACCACAACTCAGGAGATAGCAACTGCAGCGTCCACAACTCGGCAGGCAACAGCTGCAACTGCGAGAAGCTCAACTCAACAGACCACGACGACTGCAACATCTGCAACGCCGACAACATTCACCGCTCAGCAGACCGCATCCGACCCATCCACCAATCAGCTGGCAGCTGGAGCAGAATCCCCCAATCAGGAAACGGCAGTTGGGTCATCGGCCAGCCAGGAGACGACAGCCGCCCCATCCACCAATCAGCTGCCAGCAGTGGATACCTCCACCAGCGGAGGTACCGGGGACGGTACGACCACCGAACAGGCTCTGTTCACAGAGACGCTCTATTCCAATGGCGGGATGATGGGGGATCCCGTCAGCGGTCAAAACACAGACGACATATCGACCAATCAGCTGACGACTGCTGAACCAACATCCACCTCAGAACCGCTAATGGGTGAACCATTCACCGACCAACTGGCTACAGCAGGCATGTCCACCGATCAGAAGACAACGCTGGTAGCTCCAATGGCGGCTGAGGAGACTGCCCCCGCCCAGGGTATCGCCGCGGGGACCTCTGACAGCACACAGTCGGCGACAGAGGGGACCTCTGACAGCACACAGTCGGCGACAGAGGGGACCTCTGACAGCACACAGTCGGCGACAGAGGGGACCTCTGACAGCACACAGTCGGCGACAGAGGGGACCTCTGACAGCACACAGTCGGCGACAGAGGGCGTGATGATGACGGGCGACATCCAACCGGTGACTTCCGAATCGAGACATACGGCGACCGGTTCACAAACAGCCGTCACTTCCACCACGGACCGGCCGGCAGGTAGGTCTGACGACTATCATCTGTCACAGCACTATCACTATCATCACTATCATCTGTCTGACACTATCATCTGTCACAAACAACGCACAAACAACTGTCGCAAATGCAACAGAAACAGCTGTTACAACTTACAAACACCATAGAAAGAGCTGTCACAAACACCGCAAACGAGGCTGTCACAATTGCCACAAACAACACAAACACGAAACAACTAACACAACATAACACACGCAAAAACACGCGGTTAAACATAACACAAGCTGACAACTGCCACAACTTGAGTACTGACCAGACCACAATGACTGCTGTTTTGGCCACGAGCTATAAACTATCTGTCGACTGTCATTAACACCACACCACAAACAGGTGGTGATCATAAAAAGGCATGATAGGTAATGACAAGCACAAACCAGTGACAGGTAAGCAACGTTGACCTGGTGTTAGTGGTTTCGGTCGATCCACCCAGCCTAAACTCAATCAGCATTTCCCAAGATCCTTCAATTGACGGCATCGTGCGTCGTTGCAGACTTTCTAAACGGTCAAAGTTCCAACTGTATAGAGCCACCACTGCAGCCCAGTTTACTGGCGGCCATCCGCCACTGCAGCTCACAGCCCCAGTGTCCCACCACCCACCGCCGCAGCCCCGAGTCACTGCTGTCCCACCACCCACCGCCGCAGCCCCGAGTCACTACTGTCCCACCACCCACCGCCGCAGCCCCGACTAACTGCTGTCCCACCACCCACCGCCGCAGCCCCGAGTCACTGCTGTCCCACCACCCACCGCCGCAGTCCCGAGTCACTGCTGTCCCACCACCCACCGCCGCAGCCCCGAGTCACTGCTGTCCGACCACCCACCGCCGCAGCCCCGAGTCACTGCTCCCACCACCCACCGCCGCAGCCCCGAGTCACTGCTGTCCGACCACCCACTACTGCAGCCCCGAGTCACTGCTGTTCCACCACCCACCGCCGCAGCCCCGAGTCATTGCTGTTCCACCACCCACCGCCGCAGCCCCGAGTCACTGCTGTCCCATCTGTCCCACCGCCGCAGCCCCGAGTCACTGCTGTCCCACCACCCACCGCCGCAGCCCCGAGTCACTGCTGTCCCACCTGTCCCCGCTGCAGCCCCGAGTCACTGTCCCACCACCCACCGCGGCAGCCCCGAGTCACTGCTGTCCCACCACCCACCGCCGCAGCCCCGAGTCACTGCTGTCCCACCACCCACCGCGGCAGCCCCGAGTCACTGCTGTCCCACCACCCACCGCCGCAGCCCCGAGTTACTGCTCCCACCACCCACCGCCGCAGCCCCGAGTTACTGCTGTCCCACCACCCACCGCCGCAGCCCCGAGTTACTGCTGTCCCACCACCCACCGCCGCAGCCCCGAGTTACTGCTGTCCCACCACCCACCGCCGCAGCCCCGAGTTACTGCTGTCCCACCACCCACCGCCGCAGCCCCGAGTTACTGCTGTCCCACCACCCACCGCCGCAGCCCCGAGTTACTGCTGTCCCACCACCCACCGCCGCAGCCCCGAGTTACTGCTCCCACCACCCACCGCCGCAGCCCCGAGTTACTGCTGTCCCACCACCCACCGCCGCAGCCCCGAGTTACTGCTGTCCCACCACCCACCGCCGCAGCCCCGAGTTACTGCTCCCACCACCCACCGCCGCAGCCCCGAGTTACTGCTGTCCCACCACCCACCGCCGCAGCCCCGAGTCACTGCTGTCCCACCTGTCCCACCGCCGCAGCCCCGAGTCACTGCTAGTGCTGTCCCACCACCCACCGCCGCAGCCCCGAGTCACTGCTGTCCCACCTGTCCCACCGCCGCAGCCCCGAGTCACTGCTGTCCCACCACCCACCGCCGCAGCCCCGAGTCACTGCTGTCCCACCACCCACCGCCGCAGCCCCGAGTTACTGCTGTCCCACCACCCACCGCCGCAGCCCCGAGTTACTGCTGTCCCACCACCCACCGCCGCAGCCCCGAGTCACTGCTGTCCCACCTGTCCCACCGCCGCAGCCCCGAGTCACTGCTAGTGCTGTCCCACCACCCACCGCCGCAGCCCCGAGTCACTGCTGTCCCACCACCCACCGCGGCAGCCCCGAGTTACTGCTGTCCCACCACCCACCGCCGCAGCCCCGAGTTACTGCTCCCACCACCCACCGCCGCAGCCCCGAGTTACTGCTGTCCCACCACCCACCGCCGCAGCCCCGAGTCACTGCTGTCCCACCTGTCCCACCGCCGCAGCCCCGAGTCACTGCTAGTGCTGTCCCACCACCCACCGCCGCAGCCCCGAGTCACTGCTGTCCCACCTGTCCCACCGCCGCAGCCCCGAGTCACTGCTGTCCCACCACCCACCGCCGCAGCCCCGAGTTACTGCTCCCACCACCCACCGCCGCAGCCCCGAGTTACTGCTGTCCCACCACCCACCGCCGCAGCCCCGAGTTACTGCTGTCCCACCACCCACCGCCGCAGCCCCGAGTTACTGCTGTCCCACCACCCACCGCCGCAGCCCCGAGTCACTGCTGTCCCACCACCCACCGCCGCAGCCCCGAGTCACTGCTGTCCCACCTGTCCCCGCTGCAGCCCCGAGTCACTGTCCCACCACCCACCGCGGCAGCCCCGAGTCACTGCTGTCCCACCTGTCTCCGCCAGCCGCGGAGGTCGTCTACGTGCAGCGGAACGTCTCGGTATTCGGTGCCGCCCTGCTGAACTGCTCCGGTGACGAGTCCAGGCCGATGGCGCTGGTCGGAATGAAGGACGACCCAGCCACGGCGGCTCAAACGCCCTGGCAGGTCAGAGGGGGAGGGGGAGGAGACATACCTACACCCCGGGGAGCAGGGGTGGGCAGGAACGGAACGAGTCGGGGCCAGGGAAAGGGAGGAGCGATCACGATAGGAACGGAGAGGGAAGGAGACATGACCAACACTTGCCAATATATCATTCTTAAAGTGCAATGCAGGGCTTTGCTCGTGGCGTACTTCTACGAAAAAAAAAATACGGCAAAAAAGTTCCGTATAACTGCTATTTTTGCTATTTTTAGCTGCTATTTTTTAAAATATAATAACAATATTTAATATATAAAAAGCATAGGCGCGGGAGCCGGGGGGGCAGTGGGGGCAGCTTGCCCCCCCAACTCTGGGGCCGTGGGGGCGGTGCCCCCACAGCTTTGAGACGGAATACCACACTTTTTTTTGCAAATGTTTTCTTTTTTTTTTTTGTTGAAAAAGCCGAGGGGTGAAAAATAAGTGGCCTAAAACCGGTGAGAAAACTAGATTTGGGGGTACCCTAGGTTAATCTTTATTATGGTGTGCCCCCCAGTCGGAAAGTAGTTCCCGCGCCCCTGATAAAAAGGCATTAATAATGAGGGCTGCTTCGCAGCACTGCCGTCACAAACAACATATAATTTGTACGGATGCCAAGACTGTGTGAAGATTGTTGTTCTGTTAGTTATGCCTACGAGTACGGAGCAATGCGCAGTTCGACAGTTACTTGACTCGCGACATCATCGTTACTACACGGACCTCAGTGACAGCGGTGTTGTTACTACACGGACCTCAGTGACAGCGGTGTTGTTACTACACGGACCTCACTGACAGCGGTGTTGTTACTTCACGGACCTCACTGACAGCAGTGTTGTTACTTCACGGACCTCACTGACAGCGGCGTTGTTACAGACCCTGGACCAGGCGAACTGCGCGCAGTTTGTCGGCCACCCAGACCTGGTCATCGGGGCGGGGACGCCTCTCATCCCATTTGAACAAGGAAAGGTGAGCTCGGTGGGTCTACTATTTTACACTCTCTGCTAAGGGGCGCCGGTCTAACCCTGCTCCCAGGTCTCCCGTCTCTCGATTTTACGATTGCTGCCCCTGAATATGCATGTCTGTATGTCAGTGAGTTTTTTTTTTCTGTTGAGCCGCCAGCCGTACTATCACGCTGTACCTACAATCTGCAGACAGGCTTTCAGTACCTGTCGTGATACCAGTACCTGTCGCGGTACCCCTACAGACAGAGTATAATACCTGTCCCCGCAGAAAGAATACCAGTACCCGTCCCTATCCCCACAGCCCGAGTACCATTGCGGCCCTGGTCAGCTGCTGGTGGCCGTGTCCACCTCTATCGGCCAGTACCTGCCCCGGCCGGGGATCCTGTGCGCCCCGGTCGAGGAGCCCCACACCATCGGCCCGGTGGGCTGTGAGACGGTGACCATCACCGAGCCGGAGAAGTACCAGAGCCCTGTCAGCGACACGGCCAGGTGGGTCAGTACATCGAGCCAGAAAAGTACCAGAGCCCCGTCAGCGACACCGCCAGGTAGGTCAACACCGCCGTGCTGTGGTGATCATTTCTGAGACACGAACGGAGAGAATCCCTGGGACTTTCTGTTGGTGACTTGGCTAGACAAGGAGTTCCTCAGCTATAAGCTTGTTTCTATCGCGGTACGCGTAGGACTGCAATCACTGGCTGCTCATTGCTCTCCCAGCCCCGGGCACTGGGACCGCTGCTCTGCGGCTGTGTCCGCTTCCACCACTAGCAGGTGTGCTACTATTCCAGCTGTCCAGCAGCTGTCCAGCAGCTGACAGTTATGTGCATTGCAGCTGGCCGTCCCAGTGCCCCCAGCTGAAGCTGGCAGCTCTGTTATTATTCCAGCTGTCCGTTCCAGCTGCTCACAATTATGTTTCAAATCTAGACATCCGTTCCAGCCAGGTGTCCGTTCCATCTACTGGCAGTCATGTCATAACTCCAGCTGTCCGTTTCAGCTGAAACTGACAGCTCGGTTGTTATGTTCCAGCTGACCTTTCCAGAGCCCCCAGCTGTCTGTTCCAGCTGCTGACAGCTGTAGGCTGCTGACAGTTATATCTATGTTCCAGCTGGCCGCTCCAGTGCCCCCAGCTGTCCGTTCCAGCTGCTGACAGTTATTTTCATGTTCCAGCTGGCCGTTCCAGCTGCTGACAGCTATATTTATGTCCCAGCTGTCCGTTCCAGCTGCTGACAGTTATATTTATGTTCCAGCTGGCCGTTCCAGTGCCCCCAGCTGTCCGTTCCAGCTGCTGACAGTTATATTTATGTTCCAGCTGGCCGTTCCAGTGCCCCCAGCTGCCGCAGCCGCTTGGAATCACAGCCGTCTCCATCGACACGCTGCAGAAACACTGGACTTCCATCACCTGCTGCCTGATCGTATAAACCCCTGTGGACCCTGGTATACTCGTAGACTAACACGTAGCTCGGGCTAACACAGAATACCGGCGGAACGGGCAGTCAGCGCAGACTGACAGCCGACTGTCACATCACACTGCGCCACTGTCACATCACACTGTGCCACTGTCACATCACACTGCGCCACTGTCACATCACCCGGTATTTGAGCCGTCAATCGGTCGTGCGTTTTAATTCTGGCGGCGATCGGGGCTGGGCGCGAAATGCGAATGGTCCCTCTCCGAACCCGGCTGGCTGCTTCACTTGTGTGTGAGGTTTTAACAATGTGTGGCGTGCATCCCATTTTTCGACAGTGCTTCGTTCGGCTTTAGATTGTGTGTGGTGTGGTACACCTCGCCATTGGGTGGGCGCGGGCCGCGGGGCTTAAAGAACCGTCTGAAAGCTGAACTTCTAGACAGTAGTCCGATACTGTAATTAGCCACCAACTGGATAAAACTTTGATGACTGGTCCAAGGAACGCCCAAGTTATGAACCATATCGTAGAGTAACACAGCAAGGGTAGGTACGTACTGCAAATTTGCTCAATTATCAATGTTTTCTCCACTATTAAAGCACGTTATCAGTAATGCACTTTGTGCGTGCTCGGCCTCGGTGCTGCTAACCTACAGCACCTATGTACAAGCTAGTACAACCTATGTACAAGTATGTACAAGCAAGTACAAGCTGCTACTGTATGTACAAGTAGCAACTGCTTTGTGTGCAAGATGTAAACATTATGTATAGGCCACGGGAGCTTGATGGGTTAATGGTCCTTTTATTTGTTAGTCATTTCGGGATTGACTGATTCAGGCGCAACGCTCTACTGGCTGAAGGCTTAACACATTTTATTTATATTTGTCGTAGCCTTTTAGTGTAACCGTAAGGATGCCTACATTATGTGTGTAAAACACACACTGCACTGTGTTTTGTGTAGGTATAAGTGGCTCTTCGAAGTGGCAGTGGCGTGATGTGGAGCAGTCCATGCCATTGATGTTTAATGTTTAGGTAATATTCCGAGCTCAATACACTATCCTACTGACTCACATTATCGTGTTAGGTGTATGTCGGAATGAAATGCTAATCGCAGCGCTCATTGGGACACCTGATCAGCAATACCTACCTAATTAAAAGAGTGTAGGTACAACAGCAAAATTAAGGATGAAATAACACCCACGAGCATGTCAACTCATGCAATTCCGTTTATAGTACCTACAAATCACATTTGCGATTTACCTTAAAATGCAACTAGGTACTCAACAGCTGCGATAAATAAAATAAATGTTTGTGTCACGAGTATTCGTTGGTTACAACCAGGGCGGCGGAGTCGGAGTCGGTCGGAGTCGATAGTTCTGACGGAGATCGGAGTCTGAGTCGATTATGGAAACCGAAGCCGTAGTCGATGTCTGAGTCACCGAAAATCCATCGACTCCGTAGCTCTGCCAGGTCTGCGGGCGTGACCGCCGTGCGCCCGCACCGTGCGCCGGGAGCTGTGCAGGCGGACGGACCAGGCCTCGTGCCGGGCGGGGAGCGGCCAATCAGGGATGTACCGATCGCCGGAGTCGGAGTCGGAGTCAGTTTTTGACTCTGCAGCCCTGGTCAATCGACTCTGCAGCCGTCACAACTACAGGGAATATCATCTCTTACCGCGCTCGGCCCGACAGCGTCTCTCTGCCAGCGACCCCAGTTCACGAACAGAACAGTAACCGGCCTTTGCCGCCGCGCCGCGGTGGGGCCGATCACAGCCGCTCCGGCGCTGTTTTCTTCCGCTGCGCCAGGTCCAGGGGGTACGACCATACGGGGAGGGGGGGGGGGGGAAGACAGGCGACGGCGCATACGTGAAGTCCTTCCGCAAACCAGGCAGGGTGCCAGGGGGACAGCGGCGCCGCGCCGGTCGGAGGGGGAGGGGAGGGCAGTCGCCGCGCAGGTCAGAGGGAGAGGGACACAGGGGAGGGGGCAGCCGCCGCGCCGCGCAGAGGGTTAGTTTGCGGGCCCTGTGGCCCGGGCTCAGTGGAGTTCGGGAAGGGGCAGAGAGGGAAATTAACGGCCACTTAGAGCGGGGGTTCGGTGATTTGACAGGATAACGGTCCCTCTGGCCTGCAGCTCAGCTCAGTGGGACTGGGTGAGGGAGAGCGGGGGAGGGGAAGGTCTCTGGCGGGACCGGACTGGCACGGAGATGACATTACGAGACAGCCGTCTGCAGCACCGAACTGCCGGCGGCCCGGAACCGAATCATGGCAGTCGACCGGCGAGCTTCGCCAACTACGCCTGTAACTGCCCAGTAAACATGCCGACGTCGGCCCGACGTCGGCCGACGTCGGGGTGACGTCGGCAACTCGGCATCAGCATGCCGACGTCGGCCCGACGTCGGTCCAACCTCGGCACGACGTCGGCTGGATGTCGGATATGCCCGCATGTTCCGAAGTCCAGCCGAGGTCCAGCCGACGTCGGGCCGACGTCGGACCGAGATAAATTGCTGAGGTCCAGCCGACGTCGGGCCGACGTCGGGCCGACGTCGGGGCGACGTCGGGGCGACGTCGGACCGACATCGGCGCTATTTTGACCGTTAAAATAAGATAAAATACATGTTTCATGTTTCATAAAGAGCTTCTGTATTCAAAATATCCTCAGGAAACTCAAATCTTCCTCCACGCCGCAACCCCCTGATCCGGACTGGACGGGAAACTTTATCCCATTTGGGATTGCCCGTAAGCCGAGCTCGCCCGTAGCCGGGTGCGGTGAGTGCTTGGGGGCTGCTCGGCCTATCCTTTGGTCAGGCTCAGCCCCGGCAACTCACCAGGGCCGGGCCCAGTTCATATAGAAAGGCCAGTCGGCAAGTGTCACTTTGCCAAAGTGCCACTTATCAAAGGGACACTTTGGGAAACGTTGGTGCAGGTGTGTAAGAGTGGCTATATGAATCCATTGTGGGGTCGCCCTTTCCAAAAAGTGTCACGTAACAGCAATGGGACCAGGGACTCTATATGAACTGGACCCAGGGTGCTCGCCAAGAAGACCAATGTCTCCATCCTATGATCCTTCCGGCTCTGAAATGGTCTTGTCAGACCGAAAGGGCATAAACAACAAAACAAACCGAAGTCCTTATCTGGCTGCGTGGTGTAGTGGTTAGCGCACTAACCTCGCGTTCCAATGATACGGGGTTCGAATCCCATCGCCGGCCGATCCTTTTTGCGTGTTGTCCCAGTAAACATGCCGACGTCGGCGACTGGGGGGCTCGAATCCCGCCGCCGGTTGATATTTTTGGCGCGTTGTCCCAATAAACATGCCGACGTCGGCCCCGTCGGTCCAACGACAAACGATCTCGTCAACCTCGGCAAACGATCTCGGCCCGACGTCGGCTCGACGTCGGCTGGACTTCGGCTGGACGTCGGAACATGCGGGCATATCCGACGTCCAGCCGATGTCGGGCCGAGGTTGAACCGACGCTGGACCGACGTCGGGCCGAGCCTCGGCCCGACGTCGGGCCGACGTCGTCATGTTTACTGGGTGGTAGATAAGCTGTTAGAAAATGTCAAGCGTTGCAAGATATTTATAATTTTTTACCAAGCACGTACCAAGCACGAATCGTACGGTACGATTAGTTGGTAGAAAATGTCTAGCGTTGCAAGAAAACCATATAAATATTATTTAGAGCATGTATAACCCTCCGGGTGAGTAGGGTTATACATGCGTATCGTACGGTATAACCATAGTATAACCCCAAGCACGAATCGTACGTAGGGTATATTTTCGGCGGCGGCACATCCTCATGATGGGCCGTTTCAGGCGCATTTGATGCGCCCAGCCGGATGCGCTAGTTCGGGAAATAGGACATGCCTAGTGCTATGACGGCTGTATGCATGCATGTATGTATGTATGTATGTATGTATGTATGTATGTATATATGTATACATACATTCATTGCATTGCTGTTACATTGCTTTGCACGATGTATGCAATGTGACAGCCGATAAATGCTGCATGGTGCATTTGTAACTAACTATTGAATGATGCGTCGCATATTGTATGGACGACGAATTTGGTGGGAGAGCTCAGTTAAATGGTGCCGGATCTTCCTCCGTTGTTTTTGGGCTTCATCTCCATTTGTTTTCCCCGATTATATCCCTTTTTCACTACCTCCTCTCTTCCTCTTCCTCTCAAACTCTGTCGTCAGTCTCTCTGTCTCTCTGTATTTACAGTAAAGTCGCGGCGGCGGCGGCGGCTGCGGCCGATATTCCCGCCCGCCGCCGCACACAGCAGTTCAATAAATACACCGCACGGCCATTCCGCTCAGCTCACCTACAGCTCTGTACACCGGCCTCTCAGCTTCGACGGCCTGTAGTTCTGTACACCGGCCTCCCAGCTTCGACCGCCAGTAGTTCTGTACACCGGCCTCCCCACACTGGGCCGCGCCGGCCGTCCCCCTCTTTGGCCTCGGCTTGTTCGAGGGGCGCTCGTCGCCGACCGGTGACGTCATCAGGTGACGTCACACCCACCCACACACCCACACCCACACAGACACACGAGCTCTCAGGTAACCGGCCCAGCGGTCGAACAGCAGAGCAGCCAGACAGACCGTCAGCGCCACAGATAGACCGTCACAACAGAAGGGACTCGACACTCGCAGCCACTCGCAGAAAACCCGGCGGCTCAGACCAGACCGCTGTTAGAACCACCGCGGCGGTCCACCATCAGCCCAGTGGCTCTCAAACAACTCAGCAGTCAGAAACAACCCCAGCGACTCTCAAACAACTCAGCAGTCAGAAACAACTCAGCAGTCAGAAACAACCCCTCACAAACAACTGAGCGATCCGGCGCACCCCGGCGGCTCACGGCCACTCACGGCAATCCCAGCAAATCAAAGCAGCGGCGACTCTCTCGGCCCGCAGACCGCCCGGCGACTCCCGAGACTCATAGGGCGGCGACACCACACACAGGCGCTCTCTAAACTCTCCTCACAGGAGTTCTACCGCACTCTCTCCCAAGCAGGGATAGATGGTCACAACCGCACCATTTTACTCGCGTTAAAATCCTGCAAAACACTATTCAATAGTCATTTTAAAAGTAGCCAATGGTATTGAAGCCTTCCCTTCATTTCACACACGATTTCAGGGACAAGACGCCTTCATTAGCTGACGGCAGCGACTAAAATGTACACTCGGGGTCTACGAATTCACCTATCAGCGCCGGGGGTTCTAGGCGCGTCCCTCTGGCCGCCGGCGCCGGGGGTTCTAGGCGCGTCCCTCTGGCCGCCGGCGCCGGGGGTTCTAGGCGCGTCCCTCTGGCCGCCGACGCTGTGCGGCGCGACTACAGACGCCCGGCCGGCGGCCGACGCCGCGCGCCCCGCTCTGGCGCCCACTATAGGTCGAACGCCTCATTGAGGAGGGCGTTCAGCTCCTTGGTGTGGGCCGTTTTGCTGCCGGTGGCCGGAGAGGCCGAACAGCTGCGGCCCACGTACCTGTGGGGAGGGGAGGGGAGTCAGAGGGGGGCCGGGGAGGGAGGAGTCAGACGGGAACTGGGGAGGGAGGGGAGGCCGAGCAGCTGCGGCCCACGTACCTGTGGGGAGGGGAGGGGAGTCAGAGAGGGCCGGGAAGGGGAGGGGGGAGTCAGAGCTGGTCCGGGGAGGGAGGGGAGTCCGAGCAGTTGCGGCCCACGTAACTGCGGGGAGGTGGGAGGGGGTCAGGGGGTTCAGAGGAGCGGGGAGGGTCAGCGTAGGACGAGGGAGGGGAGGTCGGCGGGGAGGGGGACGGTGAAAGAATGTCTGATACGATCAGGGAGAGTGCAGAAAAATAACCGCCCGACCCGAGAGGTGGATAGGTGCGCGATTAATCCCGCTAAAATGTGACTAGTTGATGCTGGTTCTTCCGTCTCCATTACAAACATAGAGACAAGGTAGGTAAGTTCAGACAAGTTGAATACAAAGACCTCTTGTAACGTGCGGAGGAGTGCAGGCTGCAGAGCAGTGAGTGAGCCGCGCGATGGACCTGACGACGGACAGGCCGGGATAGTGACGATGGAGAGGAAGGAATAAAGGCCGGCACCCAGCCGGATGGTATTACACCCAGCTAACCGGGAGAGGAGACTGATATGCCCGACATATTTCAGAGCGTGACAGCTCACCGACCGAAATGGAAAAACGACGCCTTCGTGCCGAGCCTCTAGAAAAAGCAATAGCGACTAGAAAAAAAGATGTTTCGGTTTCACCACTCAGCCTCTTATGTGAAAAAGGAACCATATTGTGACATCAGGTAAGCACTGAAATTTTGCACCTTTTCGGTGAAATAAAAAGTGTTCAGGAGCCGGCACCCGAGTATCTTATATGAGCCGTACCCAAATAGGGCAAGTCCGAAACTCGAACATGCAAACAGCATTCTCACCGAATTCGCCTGACGTTTTTGGAGTGCGTGTTCGCGACATCGGGCGGCAGCTCGGCTTTGGACGCCGGCTGGGGCGGCGGCCCGGCTTTGGGCGCCGGCTGGGGCGGCGGCCCGGCCCTGACCAGGCGGAGGAGGCGGCCCAGCCACGAGTCGGGGGTGGCAGACGGGGGTTCGGCGCCGCGGGGCGCGCGCTCACTCTCGGACCGGCTGCCGGGACAGGAACGAGGGCCCGGAACGGGGGATCAGTGCCCGGATGGTGTGCCACTTCCAAAATAATCTGCGATAAAGCTCAATAGGACTTCTCTCACTACTCTGGTTCAACTCAAATTGTTAAAGGTGTACGTTTTGTGAATGAAGCAGGCTAGTCTCCTTTTAGTCGTATTCACATGGAAATCGAGAACACTCGGCTCGAGTGTCGGTACTGGGAAGGTTCCGGCGGGGAGGAGCTATGTTACAGAGGTGGGGTGCTAACTGATAACTGCCAATAGTGGAACACACAGGAGGGAACGACATACGTTACTACCAACCATGCAGGCAGGCGGTAAATATCAAAACATGTAAAGAAAAACAAACATTTTTTATGTCGAATTTATCTACCCTTTTCAGGCGCTTTCAGCCCAAACTGAGGGCGAAAGGAAAAGTGATTTCAAAGGTCAATAACGCTACAGTTCGCTAGACGAGTTGAAGCTTCGCTGTCCACTATCCATTCAATTGTGTCGGCTCTTAACCCTTGGCCTTATTATCTCCTGACCTGATGAGCTTGTCCTCCACTGCTACTGATCGGATGATCTAGAAGGCCACTAACCGATCACCTATTGGTCTTAGTTCATGATTACCTGGCGGCTGACCTAATGAAAAACGATGACCTCGGCGGAATCTGACCTGAAGAACGACCTCCGTTGACTGACCTGATGACCTTGGCCTCGCCGTCTGTTTACTGACCTGATGACCTTGGCCTTGGCGGCGGTGGTCTCGAAGCGCGGCTCGACGAAGGCCCAGGCGCCGTTGTTTTTCGCCTCCTCCTGGGCCCAGACAATGTCGGCGTCCGCCGGGTACAGGTCCAGCTGCTGCTTCACCTCATCAAATGGGAACGGAGACAGCTGGAGAGAGGCGGGGGGGGGGGGGTTCAGAGGGGTCAGAGGGGGGTCAGAGGCCGGGTACAGGTCCAGCTGCTGCTTCACCTCATCAAACGGGAACGGAGAGAGCTGGGGAGGGGGTCAGAGGGGGGTCAGAGGGGGGTCAGAGGGGGGTCAGAGGCGGGTACAGACAGACACGGAGGAAATTACAAATATCGCGAACAAGAATCGCGGCACGGCAATGCCATTGATGTAGATAATTTAATCAGTCTTACGTCGCATAGCGCAGACAAAAGCCGTCCACTCCGCTCCTTTCGGGATCCCCGCGACTGTCACCCACCCCGAGGCTATCAGTCCACCAGTCGCCCACCATTCCACAGCTCGGACACCATTCACCCGGCGACCGAGGACCTGCGCAGCGCCGTCGCGGTAGTGACCCAGGGGCCGCCTTCCGTCCCCTCTCAGAGCCATTCAGGCCCAGTAACTCTCCCCTCGCCAAGCCACTCTACCCCACAATCTCCCACCTGTTCCACCCGGACGATGGCCACTTGGTCCTGCAGTCCGCGGTCCTCGCGCGCCTTCTCCAGGTCGTAGTAGACCTTTCCGCTGCAGAAGATGACGCGCCGCACACCCGACGGTGACTGGCCGGCCGCAGCCGTATCTGGCAGGACACTAATGTAGAGAGAAGGAAAGGGACGTCAGATAGGGGACTGGCCGGCAGCAGCCATATCTGGCAGGACACTGTGGTAACAGGGGAGGTCAGATAGGCGACTGGTCAGCAGGACACCAACGCAGAGAGACGGTGAGGTTAGACGGGCGACTGAATTTCGGGCCGACCAGTAAAGCTATGACAGTGACCCTCCGTCGGGGAGACACCTCGACCACTGCCATTCACGTGTGACTCCATACGGAACACGCCCCACACAGGGCAAATTTAACTGCGCTAGAGCCCCATGTCCTCGAAAGAATCACGCCAACGTTATCATTCTGGCACCTCACCTAGCCAGAGGGGCGCTATCAGCTACACTCGGGTCCCGTCGACTGTTTGACTTCGCTCCATCTACACACTGCTTAAAAGTTATTGTTTCCTCGCTGACGATTCGATCCGTCTGACATAGGTTATTCAATAATCACTAACCGTTTGAACTCTGTGCGCCCCCCCCCCCCCCCCACTGACCGTTTACACTCTGAGCCCCTGTACTGACCGTTTGAACTCTGTGCCCCTGTACTGACCGTTTGAACTCTGTGCCCGTCCTGTACTGACCGTTTGAACTCTGTGCCCGTCCCCCACTAACCGTTTGAACTATGTGTCCCTGTACTGACTGTTTGAACTCTGTTCCCCTGTACTGACCGTTTGAACTCTGTTCCCCTGTACTGACCGTTTGAACTCTGTGCCCGTCCTGTTATACTGACCGTTTGAACTCTGTGCCCATCCTGTTATACTGACCGTTTGAACTCTGTGCCCGTCCCCCACTGACCGTTTGAACTCTGTGCCCGTCCTGTACTGACCGTTTGAACTCTGTGCCCGTCCTGTTATACTGACCGTTTGAACTCTGTGCCCCACTGACTGTTTGAACTCTGTGCCCGTCCTGTACTGACCGTTTGAACTCTGTGCCCGTCCTGTTATACTGACCGTTTGAACTCTGTGCCCATCCTGTTATACTGACCGTTTGAACTCTGTGCCCGTCCCCCACTGACCGTTTGAACTCTGTGCCCGTCCTGTACTGACCGTTTGAACTCTGTGCCCGTCCTGTTATACTGACCGTTTGAACTCTGTGCCCTCGACCATGTCGTCGAAGCTGCTCTGTGCGCGCGGGTGCCTCAGCAGCGACTTGGGCGTCATCAGGATCAGCGGCTTGCGGAAGGGCATGTGCACCTGGCGCCGCAGAATGTGGTAGTAGTTGCTGGGCACGCTGCAGTTGGCCACCTGGCGGACAGAATACCAAACTATAGTATCAAAAACCGCCACAGGATGTGGTAGTAGTTGCTGGGCACGCTGCAGTTGGCCACCTGGCGGCGGAGGGCGGAAACACAGCCACGTCAGACGGTACAGACGCACAGTTTTAGACGGCGGGGCGAGGAGAGCTAAATAACTAGATAAAGCGATGGATGCACTTTATTCGAAAGAGAGGCACACAAAATGGCAATATATCACAGCCTTTTAATGTCGGTTATCTACTCTTGCACCTATCCTACCTACTATTGATCCGAACTGCAGTCATCATAGTACTTTACCCATTAACACTGTAAAACTCTTATCTCACTGAGTTGGCGAGTTCCACTCACGATCATGTTGCACTCGGAGAGCTGGCGGATGGCGAACTCGTCAGCGGCGAAGGGCGGGAAGTACTCCGGATCCTCCGAGCAGAGCTGCAGGAACCGCTCCAGGCGGGCCGAACTGTGCTCCGGGCCCTGTCACAGAGGTCAGGTCAGAGGTCAGCGGTCACAGGAACCGCTCCAGGCGGGCCGAGCTGTGCTCCGGACCCTGTCACAGAGGTCAGGTCAGAGGTCATGTCTCAGGTCCTCATCTTAAGAGGCCGCTCTAGATGCGCTAAATGTATGCTCGGCTCCCTGATCATCATATCAAAGGTCTGTGTAAATAGCGGGGTTGGTTCTCGTCACATTGGTAAGCACAAATCGGGCCTTTCATTGAGATAAAATTTCCCAAAGAGCAGTCAGAGATACCATAATATCAGATCAGAACAACCGGTAAACCATGGCATAGGACTGCCAACTGAATTTGTCAACGACAGATGAGCTTTACACAGTCCGTTTCGTGTCTGTCTGTCTATCTGTGACTGAGTTATGACTTACCATTCCCTCCATGCCGTGCGGCAGCAGCAGAGTCAGACCCGACTGTCGTCTGTCTGTCTGTCTGTAAATGTCTGTATGTCTGAGTTATGACTTACCATTCCCTCCATGCCGTGCGGCAGCAGCAGCGTCAGACCCGACTGTCTGTATGTCTGTCTGTCTGTCTGTATCTGTCTGTCTGTTTGAGGTCTGTTTGAGTTGTAACTCACCATTCCTTCCATGCCGTGCGGCAGCAGCAGCGTCAGACCCGACTGTTGTCTGTCTGTATCTGTCTGTCTGTTTGAGGTCTGTTTGAGTTATGACTTACCATTCCCTCCATGCCGTGCGGCAGCAGCAGAGTCAGACCCGACTGTCGTCTGTCTGGTCTGTCTGTCTGTCTGTAAATGTCTGCGTCTGAATTAAAACTGACCATTCCCTCCATGCCGTGGGGTAGCAGCAGAGTCAGACCCTACTGTCGTCTGTCTGTCTGTGTGTCTGTGTCTGAGTTATGACTCACCATTCCCTCCATGCCATGCGGCAGCAGCAGCGTCAGACCCGACTGTCGGACCCACTTGGCCTGGCCGGACGAGATGAACTGGTCGATAATCACCTGTAACATACAGATCACACAGTCAGTGGACTCGACATACCCAATAAGACTGGCGTGACCAGAAGCCATTATCACCCTCTGGTGATGAAGACACAATATTACACATCACACACGGAGCTGCTCTGCGACGATTTGAGACTATTTGGAGACGTCAGCGAGGGTAACTCATCTGCCCGAGTAACATGCACCAGACAGTGCGTTTTATCTAACGAACACTAATTCGACCACGTTTTAAAAGGCGTACGATGCCTTTTGCCTCCCTCCTCCCCATCGTTCGTTTCCCACAAACGCCCGCAGTCCCCGCCGCCATCACTATCCGGCGGCGGCGGGCTTCGGACCGGCGCCGTCGGCACACCGTCCCCACCTGGGCCGTGTTACAGACACACTGTCCTGTTACAGACACACTGTCCCCAGCAGTGGGCCGTGTTATAGACACACCGTCCCCACCTGGGCCGTGTTACAGACACACTGTCCCCACCTGGGCCGTGTTACAGACACACCGTCCCCACCTGGGCCGTGTTACAGACACACTGTCCCTGGGCCGTGTTACAGACACACCGTCCCTGGGCCGTGTTACAGACACACTGTCCCTGGGCCGTGTTACAGACACACCGTCCCCACCTGGGCCGTGTTACAGACACACTGTCCCTGGGCCGTGTTACAGACACACCGTCCCCACCTGGGCCGTGTTACAGACACACTGTCCCCACCTGGGCCGTGTTACAGACACACTGTCCCCAGCAGTGGGCCGTGTTATAGACACACCGTCCCCACCTGGGCCGTGTTACAGACACACTGTCCCCACCTGGGCCTGTTACAGACACACAACTGTCCCCACCTGGGCCGTGTTACAGACACACTGTCCCCACCTGGGCCGTGTTACAGACACACTGTCCCCAGCAGTGGGCCGTGTTACAGACACACCGTCCCCACCTGGGCCGTGTTACAGACACACTGTCCCCACCTGGGCCGTGTTACAGACACACTGTCCCCAGCAGTGGGCCGTGTTACAGACACACCGTCCCCACCTGGGCCGTGTTACAGACACACTGTCCCCACCTGGGCCGTGTTACAGACACACTGTCCCCAGCAGTGGGCCGTGTTATAGACACACCGTCCCCACCTGGGCCGTGTTACAGACACACTGTCCCCACCTGGGCCGTGTTACAGACACACCGTCCCCACCTGGGCCGTGTTACAGACACACCGTCCCCACCTGGGCCGTGTTACAGACACACCGTCCCCACCTGGGCCGTGTTACAGACACACTGTCCCTGGGCCGTGTTACAGACACACCGTCCCTGGGCCGTGTTACAGACACACTGTCCCTGGGCCGTGTTACAGACACACTGTCCCCACCTGGGCCGTGTTACAGAAGTCTCCGAACTGGGCCTCCCAGCAGATGAGCGCGTTCGGGTTGGTCAGACTGAATCCCAGCTCGAACCCTGGAACGGACCGGTGGCGGCGTCATACACACAGAGCGGTGGTTGATGACTGATGCACTGTCAACAATTCCCGAATAAATTCTCTTGAAATTCAAACGTTGTACGTATCCCAAACTGACAAATAACTTGAAGGTCGATGATCACTGATGCTCACTGAGTCACTCTCGAGTGAAGCGGAGTTGTTCACTCACCGAGCACTCCGAACTCTGAGAGTGACGAGTTGCAGACGGTGTACTGGGCCTGGTCGGGGTAGAGTTATGCACTCACCGAGCACTCCGAACTCTGAGAGTGACGAGTTACAGACAGTGTATTGAGCCTGGTCGGGGTACAGGTAGCAGAGCGGCCGGTAGGTGGCCATGTCCACCTTCTGATGGTGCATCACGTGGTGACGGTGACTGTAACACACGGACAGTAACACGGGTCATCACGTGGTGACGGTGGCTGTAACACACGGGTCATCACGTGGTGACGGTGGCTGTAACACACGGGTCATCACGTGGTGACGGTGACTGTAACACACGGGTCATCACGTGGTGACGGTGGCTGTGACACGGACAACACACAGTGAGCAAGGTCAACGGGACAGGTCATTAGGGCGGACCAACAGGTCACTGGGGTTAGAGCAGCAGACACACAGCTCACTGGAGTCACTAGAATGGGCGTACAGGTCACTGCGAGTCACCAGGGACGGATCTCTCTCTCTCTCTCTCTCTCTCTCTCTCTCTCTCTCTCTCTCTCTCTCTCTCTCTCTCTCTCTCTCTCTCTCTCTCTCTCTCTCTCTCTCTCTCTCTCTCTCTCTCTCTCTCTCTCTCTCCCCCTCCCCTCACCTGAAGGTGCCCCGCTCGACGTCCTGTCCGGACAGCCGGACGTGGTAGCCCTCCTTGAGCAGGGAGCCGAACGCCATGGCTTCAGCCAGCGCCCAGTCCACCGTGCGCGACTCCACCATCTCCATACGCGAGTTGAGCACGCGCTGAACAACAGAGAGACGAGGGGTGTGTGAGACAGGGGGAGGGACTCCACCATCTCCATACGGGAGTTGAGCACGCGCTGTACAGCAGAGAGCGAGGGGGGTGTGAGACAGGGAGGGACTCCACCATCTCCATACGCGAGTTGAGCACGCGCTGAACCATAGAGAGACGAGGGGTGTGTGAGACAGGGGGAGGGACTCCACCATCTCCATACGGGAGTTGAGCACGCGCTGTATAGCAGACAGAGAGGTGTGATACAGGAGGGACTCCACCATCTCCATACGGGAGTTGAGCACGCGCTGTACAGCAGAGAGCGAGGGGGGTGTGAGACAGGGAGGGACTCCACCATCTCCATACGCGAGTTGAGCACGCGCTGAACCATAGAGAGACGAGCGGTGTGTGAGAGGGGGAGGGGGGACTCCATCATCTCCATACGGGAGTTGAGCACGCGCTGTACAGCAGAGAATGATGGGTGAGACAGGGAGGGACTCCACCATCTCCATATGGGAGTTGAGCACGCGCTGTACAGCAGAGAGACGAGGGGTGTGTGAGACAGGGGGAGGGACTCCACCATCTCCATACGGGAGTTGAGCACGCGCTGTATAGCAGACAGAGAGGTGTGATACAGGAGGGACTCCACCATCTCCATACGGGAGTTGAGCACGCGCTGTACAGCAGAGAGCGAGGGGGGTGTGAGACAGGGAGGGACTCCACCATCTCCATACGCGAGTTGAGCACGCGCTGAACCATAGAGAGACGAGGGGTGTGTGAGAGGGGGAGGGGGGACTCCATCATCTCCATACGGGAGTTGAGCACGCGCTGTACAGCAGAGAATGATGGGTGAGACAGGGAGGGACTCCACCATCTCCATATGGGAGTTGAGCACGCGCTGTACAGCAGAGAGACGAGGGGTGTGTGAGACAGGGGGGACTCCACCATCTCCATACGGGAGTTGAGCACGCGCTGTACAGCAGAGAGACGAGGGGTGTGTGAGACAGGAGGGACTCCACCGTCTCCATACGGGAGTTGAGCACGCGCTGAACAATAGAGAGACAAGGGGTGTGAGACAGGGGGACTCCACCATCTCCATACGGGAGTTGAGCACGCGCTGAACAACAGAGAATGGTGTAAGACGGGGGGGGGGACTCCACCATCTCCATACGCGAGTTGAGCACGCGCTGTACAGCAGAGAGCGAGGGGGGTGTGAGACAGGGAGGGACTCCACCATCTCCATACGCGAGTTGAGCACGCGCTGAACCATAGAGAGACGAGGGGTGTGTGAGACAGGAGGGACTCCACCATCTCCATACGGGAGTTGAGCACGCGCTGTACAGCAGACAGAGGGTGTGTGAGACAGGGGGGACTCCACCATCTCCATACGGGAGTTGAGCACGCGCTGTACAGCAGAGAATGATGGGTGAGACAGGGAGGGACTCCACCATCTCCATATGGGAGTTGAGCACGCGCTGTACAGCAGAGAGACGAGGGGTGTGTGAGACAGGGGGGACTCCACCATCTCCATACGGGAGTTGAGCACGCGCTGTACAGCAGACAGAGGGTGTGTGAGACAGGGGGGACTCCATCATCTCCATACGGGAGTTGAGCACGCGCTGTACAGCAGAGAATGATGGGTGAGACAGGGAGGGACTCCACCATCTCCATATGGGAGTTGAGCACGCGCTGTACAGCAGAGAGACGAGGGGTGTGTGAGACAGGGGGGACTCCACCATCTCCATACGGGAGTTGAGCACGCGCTGTACAGCAGAGAGACGAGGGGTGTGTGAGACAGGAGGGACTCCACCGTCTCCATACGGGAGTTGAGCACGCGCTGAACAATAGAGAGACAAGGGGTGTGAGACAGGGGGACTCCACCATCTCCATACGGGAGTTGAGCACGCGCTGAACAACAGAGAATGGTGTAAGACGGGGGGGGGGGGGGACTCCACCATCTCCATACGCGAGTTGAGCACGCGCTGAACAATAGAGAGACGAGCGGTGTGTGAGACAGGAGGGACTCCACCATCTCCATACGGGAGTTGAGCACGCGCTGAACAGCAGACAGAGGGGTGTGTTCACTGTGTGAGCTGTTGGAAGCTGTTGATTTTTGTCTAGGACCAGGTCGGTGTCGTTACTAATTTGCGTTCGTATCTGTTTGAACAACAAACTTGCACTCAGACGCTTAACTGGTCAAATAACATTGAACCAAGGAAAAATTACAAGCCATTTGATGTGAAGCAGAGGCAAACGAGTTGATACTATCAGCAATGTCTCACTAGTCTCAACCTGCGTCATAAATAGCAGGGTTTTCCGCCCATTGGTCGCCCACTCCGCGCCGTGTCCCAGCCACAGCTCGGCGCCCACTGTCTGCCCCACCGGAGGCGGATCCCGGACCCACCGGAGGCGGATCCCGGACCCACCAGAGGCGGATCCCGGACCCACGCGAGGCGGATCCCGGACCCCACTGGACCCACCTGGAGTCCACGGTGGATGACGAAGTCGACGGCGTTGGGCGGCGCCGATGAGACCCTCTTGCCAATGTGGGTGAGCGTCTCCTCCTTGACGCCCGTGTCGGACATCTTCAGCGGGTCCTTACCCTGAGACACACAGACACAAACACAGGCCACAGTCAGACACAGACACAGCGTCTCCTCCTTGACGCCCGTGTCGGACATCTTCAGAGGGTCCTTACCCTGAGAGACATACAAACACAGACAAACACGGGTAACAGACAGACACAAACAAACACAGTTACAGACAGACACAAGCACAGTGTCTCCTCCTTCACCCCCGTGTCGGACATCTTCAGCGGGTCCTTGCCCTGTGTGAGGGGATAGGACGTCACCAGAGGTTGTTGTTGCTCCCTCCACCCCACTGCACCGTGTTTTAACTCTGGCCAAAAACTGGCCAGGACGCGAAATATCGACTATTTTTAAACGTTTCCATTTGGCCACTATCGTGTTCAAAAATGATCAGAGCATCTATAACGACGGAAGCTTTTATTCTCTTTACTTTTAAAAAGGTTGAAAATGTACAACAAAGTCAGACAACTCTCAACAGCTAAACTTCGGCGAACAAACGCAGAAACAGTCGCTTTGCTTCACGTCAACATCTTCGAGCTTTGGATTGACAAAACTATATAATTTGGGTACCAAACGATAGCGCGACCTTTTGGCTTTGTAATGAGTCATAATTTATATAATTATAATGCATATAGGTGTTACATTTATTAATTTTGGTTAGCCCTTACATTGGCACACTTTTTTGAAAAATGTAAATGTTCTTTTAGAGCTACAAAAAATTGTACGCTAGTGTACGGTCTCAGACTACCACCACACTGTAGGTCAAGGAGTTGTCTACATGTCCTCAAAATTTCAGCTGCGCCTGAGTGCGCCGGTGTTGGGGGTGAACACTTTTTTGAATGAGTCATGTCTGTTCCTGCTGAGCCATGGGACGGGCTCTAGCGTGCGTTAAGGGAAAATGCTAGTACTCCTCGTTCATTCTCTCGTCTATTGTGACGAGTTGGTGGCCAATGGAAGGTCGCCGACCTGTGTGCGACCTGCCGTACCCTGGGGCGTTATCAGCTGACGGCACGACCCCCCACGACACGTGCCAGTTGCATTTTCATGTGTCGCGAGAAGAAAACAAAGGGTCTCCGGAACCGGAGACCGGACAATGTCGGTGAATGACAGTTGTTCATTCAAAAACTGCTAGCATTCCTATGAAATAGGTATACATTTCTTAAATATCAACAGCATTATCGGTGTAAATAGTACCTATAGGTCTATAACAGGAACTTTCCACTCCATGGCTATTGCAGGAAATTCATAGATGGGCTCTGGAGCTGTATGGTCGCTACACATGCTTGCTTGATAGTTTATAAACATATCTTAGTACCTGATGGAGCGCAATAAAATATTCATTGTGCCCAGTTTGCGATGGGACTGTGAACTGGAAAGTGACTGTATGAGACCGGCCACAGCACGCATCGCTGATCACGATGATCGGCAGGGTTACCATCGGCCTCTTCAGTCAGTATTAATACGTTCGACGTAGGTGGTATGGTATCATTAGTGCTGTCCACATTTATGAAAAAGTATCCGTTTGCTGCAGTAAGCGTCAGTTAGTATGGCAATGAAGTGCTTTTACGTGCACGTTGCATGTTACAATAACGCACCATACAATAGGAATTGGTAAGAAGTTTTGGGATACATTCTACCATTTCACGTCATGCAATGGCGGATCCAGTGAGAGGCATAGTGGGTATTTGCCCTCCCCATAGCTGAGTCGTGTGGGCAAGACTATCCTTTTCCGCTCCCAAAGCTTTTGGTGATGATAAACATAATACGGCGTCAATGCCTATCTGGACGAAAAGCAGGTCTTTCCGTCACAACCATTCTGAGGGATGGAGCTGACCGCTCGCTGCTCATGATTTAGGTCGGTATGATGATAACAGATGGAAATTTCTGAACTACACGCATGCAGATTGCAGACGTAGTGAAGCTTTGTAAAGTCACCGGCGCGGCGGTGGGTCGGGGTCGCCGAATGAGTCGGAAACATTTGCCCTCCCCAAACGGATAATCTGGATCCGCCCCTGACGTCATGTGACGTAAAACATACAAGACTCTGGACTTACTAAAGTGGAGACCGGGTTAACATCAAATTGATATCAAAACATACGTTTAAAAATGTTTTGGAAATAAATTTAAAGATTGTAGGTCCTATATGAATAAGTCTTATAACTATAAGAACATTCAAGGTCACCTGAGGTCATCAACGCTAATTAACAAGGTCATGTCCTCAAACTTGACTTGCCTCGTCGAGGAGCCTTGCTAAAACTTGCGATTATTCTAAATTTATAGATACCTAAATGTTCGTGCATTCATAGCTAGAACATGACAATATTTTTATATGTTTCGTGACACGTGTGACGTCATTAACAAGTACATAAGCATCTGATCCGACACATTTTGCACTTTAAATGATCGTTAGTCTCCAACGTTTCGTTTGAGCCCAAAAACACGTCTGTATCTCATATAGTTTCTTAGTTATGAGCCCTGGCCAGTTTTGGTCCAGAGTTAAAACATAGTGCACTGGCGAGGCGTAGCCGAGCAGCTCTGTAAGGTCCTGTGGTGGGCCCCAGGACCACCACGTCGCCGCTCCGTACGTCTTCCAGTCAGAAAACCTAATTCTTAATTCAAAATGAAAATAAACTGGATTTCCAACCCTACAGTCACAGCGTTACGCATCCTAGGTATTTATCAAAGAATAGTCACAAAAGCAGTTTAGGTTTTTTCTTAACTACATCGGTCCCGCTTTATCTACAAACCACGAAAAATGCAAAGACTTGTCCTTGTCTTTGTAATTTGCGGCGGGATTCGAGCCGCCGTCCGCCAGGCACTATGTACTAATATGCTGGACTGACCTCGAAGAATCCGGACCAGGGCGAGTCGATCCAGTGCTTGTTGTAGATCTGCGTCTCCTTCTTGGATGCCTCCAGCGCCTCCTCGCAGATCTTCTCGTACCGGTCGATCACGTCCTGAAACGGGATCAGCGAACACGTCAGTCGAGGACGTCCTGAAACGGTGCAGGAGCCACCAGCCAGTCAGCCCGGAACGGTGGGAGTCAAACGGATTAGCAACTAATACAATATCGAGGAGTGGGAGAAACGGTAAGCAGAAAAGTAATATTTACACACTAATTACGAAACAATGAACAAAACCGATCATGGATAAGGGAGTTTCCTAGGAGCGCCTCCGCGATGCTGGGCAAATAGGGAGTCGGTAGTTTGTATCTGATCTCTCACATATCAAAGGAACCACCAGTCGGTGTTCAGTTAGTAGTCAGCATGGGTCGTCAGAGCCAGGCGTGAGAGAGGAAGTTTGTACCACACACTAGAGGTGGCAAAAGATGAAAATTTTGGGAACCAGACTCGAACCAGACCCGGCTGGACATTTCTGGAACCAGTCGGACCCGGTCTTAGTTGGAATCGGAACCAGTTGGACCCGTTCCCCAAACGTCAATTTATACAAACTACTTGTAAGTATCATTAGTTGCATCATGTAAAACAGCCTATTTCCCACTGGGAATACTCATGAACTACTGTGTGCAAAGTAACATTCACTTCCTTCACTTCATATTTTGCAATAATGTGTAGTATGCAAGATGTATAGTTTATGGAAGGACCCGGTTGGACCCGTCAGAAAATTTCCAGGAACCGGTCTGGACCCATATGGGTCCAGACTGGTTCTTTGGACCGGGTCCTCGGGTCCACATTTTGCCACCTCTACCACACACCTGTACTACATTCCTCCATCTTTCCGGCACATGTCATCAGACTGCGACAACGCCACATCAGTTTTTAGAGACGGAGAAACAGAGAGATAGAAAGACACCACCACAGCCGTCCCCCAGACCGGGCGGTACAGAACAGTGGCACACAGAGAGGTAACGGTCACACACGTTCAGGAAGCAGCCCAGAGCCCCCACAGGGCCGCATTAGACGGGGCCTGCCGGGCCGCGAGCCCACACAGAGCCGCCTGACTGAGACGGGGCCGCGTCGTGAACCCACACACAGGGGCAGTGGTCACTGGTCAAACATCACCGGGAAGCAGCATCGAGCCCCCACAGAGCCGCGTTAATGGAACGGGGTCGGCCGGGCGATGAGCCCACACAAACAGCGGCAGTGGTGACACACGCTCCAGAAGCAGCCGAAAGCCCACACCGAGCCGCCTTACTGATACCAGTCGCTCAGCGTCCGCCTTACCCGCTGCAACACGGCCCGGCGTCAGTTGGCCAGGTGCGAGCGGGATGGGGGCCGAGCCGCTCGGCCCGGCGTCAGTTGGCCAGGTGCGAGCGGGACAGGGGCGGCGCGTCAACAACATAGCTACGGGAGCGTGACATGGCCGGCTACTCAGCACCCGCCCGCCCGGAGCGGGGCGTCAGACGGGATATGAGGGGAAGGAGGGACCTGTCCTATCAGGGGAAGTAGGAAGTAGCAGGGGAAGTGGGCACCCCGTGAACGGAACACGGGTGGGACGGCGTACATCAGTTGGATGCTTCAACGAGGAGCAGTCGTACCACTACCAGTTGTAAATGCTATAGAACTACGCAAAAACTACAAACATGCATATCTTCATTTCACGTACAACATTTTTTGCAAACATCATTCACACTCAAATGCTACATTGAAATAACAGCTAAGCAGCACCCTCTGTTCATGCTGTGGCTACCACAGACGATAACGGGACAGGCTAGCACTACCAGCCAAGCGACACATCAGCCGGCAACACTCCCGAAACGGAGCTGATTAAAATAGTGGTTACCGAAACGGTTTGACAGGCTGCCAGTGCATGCGACCCCTTATTGCCGCCACCCATCAGAAATATCTTACTTGGCAGTGACCCTGACCCCTACCCCACGACCCCCTGTGACCCCTATGATCTCCCTGTGCTGGCCTATACACTCTCTGGGTGTTACCCGTGACCTCTGCCTTCGTGCGAATGTCACTGACCTTGACTTCGTCGGCGTTGACGGTGCCCTCGTCGATAAGTTTCTTGGAGTACTTGTCGGTAAGGTTGGGCATCTTTTTGATCTTGTTGTACATGAACGGATGGGTGAACATCGGCTCGTCAATCTCGTTGTGACCGTTACGGCGGTACGACACCTGTACGGCAGGGGGAGTTAGTGTCACGGCGGTACGACACCTGTACGGCAGGGGGAGTTAGTGTTACGACGGTACGACACCTGTACGGCAGGGGGTGCGACAGAGGTGAGTACGACAGCGACAGAGGTGAGGAGAGATATCTGGGGGGTTACAGGATACGCCCGCGACACCTGTACGGGACGGCGCGCGGGGCACGGTCATAGAGCAGGGTGGAAACGGGCGATGACTCCCCACCAGTGTTCGCCACGGGCCCCAAAATCCCCAGCCCAGCCCGGCCCGGGCCCATGGGTTCAGAGCCCGGCCCAGCCCGTAGCCCGTTCTTGGCAAATATTCCAAGCCCAGCCCGGCCCGGCCCGTCAAAAATAGCAATCTAGTTATTGTCTTAGTCTATTGCTATAATAAGCATGATTGATTACACTATTTTGAGAACAATTCAAATTGCATGAATATTAACATGGCAATCATGACTCCCTTCTTTTCAATGAATATAATCATTTCAAGCACCTATGGCACAAATTTTAACAGTAACAGCAAGCACCTCAGTCAATTAGGTCATGAGTACACACCTATAAAAAGTTTACATGATTATATTAACTACATTCTATGAGTAAAGTTATCTTGCAAGCTGATGTGTGTGAACATTATCATTCATAATTGGTGACTCTAATGCATACTTGAAGGAAGTATTTGCCACATACTCTATACTTCCCAGCACTTACCAGCAGAAAAAAGCTTGACTTATGGGAATTGATGAATCTGTCTGGGATTGACCTTGCTGTTAAATTCACTCCATAGATGCTGCAATATCAAAAGCCTGAGAAAGCATACAAAATAGGTGACACTAACTTTAGCACTGTCTTCCAAAAAAAGAGAAAATCCATCCATTTATCAGCAAAACTGATCTTATCTATTCTCGATTCATGCCCACGTGTCAACCGAATCTCTGTGGACAACAATCTGCTACTTTCCTATGTAACGGAAGTTGGCACAGATTCAGCACAGATTCAGCACAGCACAGATTCGGTAGGGGGAAAAAAGGCCCCGGTAGAGGGAAACCTTTATGACCCGTTTTCCCCTAGAAATGACGTCACAAAGAGGTAAAAATGGGTATCAATCGAAAGCTCTCGTTTACCCAGACACAGTCCTGCAGGAAAATTTCACTTTTTCCCATAGGAAAGCTTGTACGGGAAAATCAAAATTTTGGGTCAATGGGGGGGTCCCCCCCGATTTCGTTCAAAATCGGCACACAGGTGCCCCACCACCAGCCGAGAAACATTCCCCAAAACGGTCCCCGTTGCATTGACGTTTAAGGCCCGTAAAGCCCCCTAGACTCGTAAAATATCCGTAAAATCGCCTTTGTACGGACAAAAAAGTGGTGCTATGGTAAAAATGGGTATCAATCGAAAGCTCTCGTTTACCCAGACACAGTCCTGCAGGAAAATTCCACTTTTTCCCCATAGGAAAGTTTGTACGGGAAAATCAAAATTTTGGGTCAATGGGGGGTCCCCCCGATTTCGTTCAAAATCGGCACACAGGTGCCCCACCACCAGCCGAGAAACTTTCCCCAAAACGGTCCCGTTGCATTGACGTTTAAGGCCCGTAAAGCCCCCTAGACTCGTAAAATATCCGTAAAATCGCCTTTGTACGGACAAAGAAGTGGTGCTATGGTAAAAATGGGTATCAATCGAAAGCTCTCGTTTACCCAGACACAGTCCTGCAGGAAAATTCCACTTTTTCCCCATAGGAAAGTTTGTACGGGAAAATCAAATTTTGGGTCAATGGGGGGTCCCCCCCGATTTCGTTCAAAATCGGCACACAGGTGCCCCACCACCAGCCGAGAAACTTTCCCCAAAACGGTCCCCGTTGCATTGACGTTTAAGGCCCGTAAAGCCCCCTAGACTCGTAAAATATCCGTAAAATCGCCTTTGTACGGACAAAAAAGTGGTGCTGTGGTAAAAATGGGTATCAATCGAAAGCTCTCGTTTACCCAGACACAGTCCTGCAGGAAAATTCCACTTTTTCTCCATAGGAAAGTTTGTACGGGAAAATCAAAATTTTTGGTCCATGGGGGGTCCCCCCCCGATTTCGTTCAAAATCGGCACACAGGTGCCCCAACACCAGCCGAGAAACTTTCCCCAAAACGGTCCCCGTTGCATTGACGTTTAAGGCCCGTAAAGCCCCCTAGACTCGTAAAATATCCGTATAATCGCCTTTGTACGGACAAAAAAGTGGTGCTAGTGGTAAAAATGGGTATCAATCGAAAGCTCTCGTTTACCCAGACACAGTCCTGCAGGAAAATTCCACTTTTTCCCCATAGGAAAGATTGTACGGGAAAATCACAATTTTGGGTCAATGGGGGTCCCCCCCCCGATTTCGTTCAAAATCGGCACACAGGTGCCCCACCACCAGCCGAGAAACTTTCCCCAAAACGGTCCCCGTTGCATTGACGTTTAAGGCCCGTAAAGCCCCCTAGACTCGTAAAATATCCGTAAAATCGCCTTTGTACGGACAAAGAAGTGGTGCTATGGTAAAAATGGGTATCAATCGAAAGCTCTCGTTTACCCAGACACAGTCCTGCAGGAAAATTCCACTTTTTCCCCATAGGAAAGTTTGTACGGGAAAATCAAAATTTTGGGTCAATGGGGGGTCCCCCCCGATTTCGTTCAAAATCGGCACACAGGTGCCCCACCACCAGCCGAGAAACTTTCCCCAAAACGGTCCCCGTTGCATTGACGTTTAAGGCCCGTAAAGCCCCCTAGACTCGTAAAATATCCGTAAAATCGCCTTTGTACGGACTAAAAAAGTGGTGCTGTGGTAAAAATGGGTATCAATCGAAAGCTCTCGTTTACCCAGACACAGTCCTGCAGGAAAATTCCACTTTTTCTCCATAGGAAAGTTTGTACGGGAAAATCAAAATTTTGGGTCCATGGGGGGTCCCCCCCGATTTCGTTCAAAATCGGCACACAGGTGCCCCAACACCAGCCGAGAAACTTTCCCCAAAACGGTCCCCGTTGCATTGACGTTTAAGGCCCGTAAAGCCCCCTAGACTCGTAAAATATCCGTATAATCGCCTTTGTACGGACAAAAAAGTGGTGCTGTGGTAAAAATGGGTATCAATCGAAAGCTCTCGTTTACCCAGACACAGTCCTGCAGGAAAATTCCACTTTTTCCCCATAGGAAAGTTTGTACGGGAAAATCAAAATTTTGGGTCAATGGGGGGTCCCCCCCCGATTTCGTTCAAAATCGGCACACAGGTGCCCCACCACCAGCCGAGAAACTTTCCCCAAAACGGTCCCCGTTGCATTGACGTTTAAGGCCCGTAAAGCCCCCTAGACTCGTAAAATATCCGTAAAATCGCCTTCGTACGGACAAAAAAGTGGTGCTATGGTAAAAATGGGTATCAATCGAAAGCTCTCGTTTACCCAGACACAGTCCTGCAGGAAAATTCCACTTTTTCTCCCATAGGAAAGTTTGTACGGGAAAATCAAAATTTTGGGTCAATGGGGGGTCCCCCCCGATTTCGTTCAAAATCGGCACACAGGTGCCCCACCACCAGCCGAGAAACTTTCCCCAAAACGGTCCCCGTTGCATTGACGTTTAAGGCCCGTAAAGCCCCCTAGACTCGTAAAATATCCGTAAAATCGCCTTCGTACGGACAAAAAAGTGGTGCTATGGTAAAAATGGGTATCAATCGAAAGCTCTCGTTTACCCAGACACAGTCCTGCAGGAAAATTCCACTTTTTCTCCATAGGAAAGTTTGTACGGGAAAATCAAAATTTTGGGTCAATGGGGGGTCCCCCCCGATTTCGTTCAAAATCGGCACACAGGTGCCCCACCACCAGCCGAGAAACTTTCCCCAAAACGGTCCCCGTTGCATTGACGTTTAAGGCCCGTAAAGCCCCCTAGACTCGTAAAATATCCGTAAAATCGCCTTTGTACGGACAAAAGTGGTGCTGTGGTAAAAATGGGTATCAATCGAAAGCTCTCGTTTACCCAGACACAGTCCTGCAGGAAAATTCCACTTTTTCTCCATAGGAAAGTTTGTACGGGAAAATCAAAATTTTGGGTCAATGGGGGGTCCCCCCCGATTTCGTTCAAAATCGGCACACAGGTGCCCCACCACCAGCCGAGAAACTTTCCCTAAAACGGTCCCCGTTGCATTGACGTTTAAGGCCCGTAAAGCCCCCTAGACTCGTAAAATATCCGTATAATCGCCTTTGTACGGACAAAAAAGTGGTGCTGTGGTAAAAATGGGTATCAATCGAAAGCTCTCGTTTACCCAGACACAGTCCTGCAGGAAAATTCCACTTTTTCCCCATAGGAAAGTTTGTACGGGAAAATCAAAATTTTGGGTCAATGGGGGTCCCCCCCGATTTCGTTCAAAATCGGCACACAGGTGCCCCACCACCAGCCGAGAAACTTTCCCCAAAACGGTCCCCGTTGCATTGACGTTTAAGGCCCGTAAAGCCCCCTAGACTCGTAAAATATCCGTAAAATCGCCTTTGTACGGACAAAAAAGTGGTGCTGTGGTAAAAATGGGTATCAATCGAAAGCTCTCGTTTACCCAGACACAGTCCTGCAGGAAAATTCCACTTTTTCCCCATAGGAAAGTTTGTACGGGAAATTCAAAATTTTGGGTCAATGGAGGGTCCCCCCCCCGATTTCGTTCAAAATCGGCACACAGGTGCCCCACTACCAGCCGAGAAACTTTCCCTAAAACGGTCCCCGTTGCATTGACGTTTAAGGCCCGTAAAGCCCCCTAGACTCGTAAAATATCCGTAAAATCGCCTTTGTACGGACATAAAAGTGGTGCTATGGTAAAAATGGGTATCAATCGAAAGCTCTCGTTTACCCAGACACAGTCCTGCAGGAAAATTCCACTTTTTCCCCATAGGAAAGTTTGTACGGGAAAATCAAAATTTTGGGTCAATGGGGGGTCCCCCCCGATTTCGTTCAAAATCGGCACACAGGTGCCCCACCACCAGCCGAGAAACTTTCCC